AGCGGAGCTGGCGGGAAGTGCCTGGGACCGAGGAGATGCGCAGGGGCTGGAAGAGCGACCGGCCTCGCCCCCCCCTTGCACGTGTGGGGGAGCCGGGGGAGATGCGCTCGGGCACTGGGGTCTGACAGAGACCGCCTGGCTCCCACTGGCCGGGGCGGGGCGGGGGTAGAGCTGGGTGTGAAGAGATGCCCACACCTGTGCCGTGGACGAAGCGGGTGAGCCCCGCAATCCTGCTATCTGTGGCATTTCCTGCTCCCTTGCCCCTTGTATTCCCCCCTCCCTGTGTTCTCAAGGCGGCTGTGCGGACCACTTGGAGAAACGTTGCCCCAAAGCAATGCACCGTCTGCGTTCACATGGAGCCTGCGGGGTAACTCCGGACCCACAGCCAGCACCGACCGTCCTAAAATCACCTTAGATCCTACCGGGAAGAGACCTCAGGAGGCCATGGAGTCCAACTCCCTGCCCGAAGCAGGACGTGCACGAATTGCAGAGACTCGGGGCTGGATTTACAGCATCTTCCAGGCCCCCCAGCCTGCACAGACCTTCGTCTGGCACACCTTTTAGGGGAAGGAAGGCATCCCGGGAACGCTGGCACTGCAGGGAAATCCCACCCTGCAAGGACCCCCAGTTTACAGAACTAGATTTGTCTTATATTAACTATTAGGTATCGTTCAAGCAAGCGCCTCGTTCCACTGTGGCATGAGCACACACTGTGACACATGCAACTCCATCGCCCTTCACTTTTGTGTCCCAAACCTCATAGACTCATAGACTTTAAGGTCAGAAGGGACCATTATGATCATCTAGTCTGACCCCCTGCACAGTCCAGGCCACAGAATCTCACCCACACACTCCTAGAATAATCCTCTCACCTAGATCTCAGATATTGAAGCCTTCAAATACTTTGGAGACCCCAAGATGCAGAGAATCCTCCAGCTGTGATCTGTGCCCCATGCTACAGAGGAAGGCAAAAAACCTCCAGGGCCTCTGCCAATCTAACCTGGAGGAAAATTCCTTCCTGGCCCCAAATATGGCGATCAGCTAAACCCTGAGCACGTGGGCAAGACTCACCAGCCAGACACCCAGAAACCTTTCAACTGTTGAGCTCACTCCGCTCAGCTGCCTGATGTTCCCAGGATTCAGCAAGGATCTGCACTGAGCTCTCTCTCGGGGGAGTTACTTTTGTTCTTTCTTGTTCCAAACTACATGAGAGATCATTTGGATTTGGAACAATCCACCACTGGGGGGTCCGCAGACTGTGTCTAAGATTCCCAAAGGGATTTGCACCTCCCTTGGAACATTTGTAGGGGTCCACCCATGAAAAAAGAGTGAAAACCACTGATTTAGAAGATGTTTGCTCTTTGTGGTCAGTGGAAACAATGCAAGTATCTAAGAGCACGGCGGCGGTTAAATGTATTTATTTATCCCCACACACACCTGTTAGGCAGGGCAATGCTATTACCTGAATTGGACAGATGGGGAACTAAGGCTCAGAGGGACTCAGGCATGTGTGCACGTTGGCTTAGAGATGTAATTCCCAGCACAGACACACATGCCAGCTCTGTGCCAGCTACCCCCTAACCATAGCAATGGGGCTGTGATTTCACCTGGAGCTAGCCACCCATGTTCAGCCCCACCTCCCCCCTGCACACGTACTATCCATTCTGGAACTCACCTCCCAGCTGCCATGGGCACATACCTTCCTTTAGTGTCTGGTTCAAAGTCATGCCAGGCATCTGTGCCAGAGCAGGGAATAAACTGAACCTGCCTTTCAAAGACCCAGACTAGCACCCGACCCACTAGCCAGCTTTCCTCCAAGAGACAGCGAAGGAGCTAGAAACCTGCCTTCTGGTTCAAAACACCTGATCCCTGAGAAAAGCTGAGGGGCCTACTATGGAAATACGGGACTGTTTCCAGTTTCACTAACAGGAGGAAAAAGGGGGATTTTTTTCTCTGTTGGTTCAAAGTGTGTTTTTACACAAATGTTGTCAAGGACATTGATTTTTTTTAAAAAAGATCATTTTTCCTACTGACATTTTTCAACTGACATAGCGGGATGTAGGTTTTCCACTGGCACTAGGTGACTTTCCGTATAAAGTCCTGCTGGAGGTTCTTAAAATGCAGGAGGTGCCCAAAACTAGAAAAGGACACTTCAGAAAAGGGCAACAAAAATTATTAGGGGTTTGGCATGGGTCCCAAATGAAGAGGGATTAAGAAGACTGAGGGTTTTCAGCTTAGAAAAGAGGAGACTAAGAGGGGATAGGATAGAGGTTGATAAAATCATGACTTGTGTGGAGAAAATGAATAAGGAAAAGCTATCGACTTGTTCCCATAAGACCTAGGGGTCACCACATGAAATTAATGGGAAGCAGGTTTCAAACAAACAAAAGGAAGTTTGCATAGTCAAAACAGCGCATAGTCAACCTGTGGAACTCCTTGCCAGAGGAGGTTGTGAAGACCAGGATTTTAACAGGGTTCAAAAAAAAAGAACTAGATCAATTAATGGAAGTTAGACCCATCAATGGTTATTAGCCAGGATGGGTAGGAATGAAGTCCCTAGCCTCTGTTTGTCAGAGGCTGGAAATGGTTGACAGGAGAAGGATCACATGATGATTCCCTGTTCTATTCACTCCCTTTGGGCATCTGGTATTGGCCACTGTTGGCAGACAGGACGCTGGGCTAGATGGACCTTTGGTCTGACCCAGACTGGCCGTTCGGTTAACTAATCTAGCAGCTGAAAGATCTAAATTCCATCTAAGGGCACAAATGGAAGGAGAAAATAGCTCTGGATTTCTAGCCAGTCTGCCAAAGCTTTCACTGAGTTCTGGCAAAGGTTGCACATACATTTTGCAGAAAAGAATAAGGAAGTGTGCTTAGCTGTGATTGACACTTCTTTCGAGGTGGCCATATGAACACTCCTTTGACCCCGCCCAGCGAGACGCTGCCTGATGTTTGCCACTTGTCAGTCACCT